CAGGCCTAGCCACAAGCTAGGCCTCTCTGGTCTGCCATCCCCGCCCCAAGGGGGCTAATGGGAATGACAGTCTTATGAGCTAAAGGCTCGGGCTCAGGCACCTACCCTACCCTAGAAGGGTTAGGCATGGTGTCGATGTATACAATTTTATAAATATATGAAACTGATACAAAACAACAGTTAAAAAAATCAGATTTTTCTTAGAAATATATATTAAAATTTACTTTGAGACCAATTTTTATCAAAATAAGCATAGCATAATAGAGTAAATTTTCATATTTTCTTATAACTAATTTAAAATGCCTAAAATCCTGTAAGATTTTTTTTACTTGAGAAACTGGCAACATCATGCCAACTATGCTAGTTAATATGTGTAGCATATCAGATTGAATATAACTGAACGAGCTGACACCTTCACAGTCCAAAAAACAATGTAAGATACATCTGTATTGAAGGTTTGAAGCTAGTTATAACCGTTCGCAAATTAACGTATGCAAACATATATCCCAATTTTCCATGAACACTTCCATCTTCAAAGTGCCTATTGCAACCTCACGTTCACTCTGTAGTGACCAATTCCATTCTCATCCTCGCGTTATTGCTGCGTACACTAATGGTTCTAAATCCTCTGATGGTGTTTGGAATCAGATGTTTTTCCTGAAACAATAATCAAAGGTCATTTACTAGAATCGGCCAGTATTTTCACAGCAGTTACCTGCTGTTCTCATTGTTTTCTTTGATTTCTGAAAAAAAACTTGTTATTGTAAGTGTTGCATAACCATCCTTAAAAAAGTCTCTTACAAATTTACGTTATCTCGTGATAGTGTACATAGACTGTAATTTATAAGTCTGAGGTGAAAAATAAATAAAATTAGTTTACGAACACTTACAAGATAGTAAAGGAGAATCTCAATAAAGCAAAAAATATCTCCTTATTCTCAGTCATGTTAGCGCAGTAAAAATTTCTCAGTAAAGTCTGGGCAATCAAAATGCAACACAGGTAAGTGCGTGTGGATGCTCTCAAGCATACATATAGTCACAGCAAGGGCTACTGAATCACACACTCTTCCCCCGGCCTTGATGGCCGGGAAAGGGATTTTTGATTCGGAAGGTTAGAGGTATCCTCCTTTCCTTTAGATCAAATATGATTACCTTCAAATCCCCAGGAATGCGCAAAACCGCTGTTGGTTTGGTGCATTTCCATATTTTTTAACCCCACTATTACAATTGCTGCTGAGGTAGAGGAGTGGAAATTCTAAGCAAATCACTAATAACTATAACAAACCGAGAGGGATCGAATCATCATCCAGTTTTTATTTCCACTGGGGAGGAGGAAAAATACCTCAGATGCAGTCTGGGAGGTTGATAGTGTTTGTGATGAGCGTGTTTGTTCGCTGCTATTGTTTGAGAATAATGTTATTGTTGCTATTGCTGTTTCTCCTGCTACTACTACTACTACAATCTAGAAGGCGAGACACTGCAAATATTGCACAAGGAAAAACAACTGGCAGTGAATGTCACGTCAGACGCATCACCAAACTTGAACATAACGTCACCAGCACAAGAGGAGAGCCAATATTGAACTGCTTTCAGAAACTTATCAGATAATGAATTTTCAGTCATAATCAGACACTTGATGAGCCCCGAAAGTTTGCAATAAGATTTGTTCCTGAGTTCAGATGACTGGAATATGAAGAGAACATAAAATAAACTAAACTACCACAGAAAAGAGAAGACCCAGGGAAGACATGATTAAAACTTAAGATCTCTCGGAGAAGTTATCGTGCTTGGAAAGTGTATACAATTTGAAATTGGAGGTCCAGAAGTTAAAGCGGAAAAAACAGAAGTAAAAAGTGCAGATGAGTATCAGATGTTAGGAAGTGCTCCTTCAGTCCTAGAGTGGATTCAACAGAGAACACCTCGCTGAATCGTCTGTTTAGCTCCCCATTAAACTTCGTGCTATTAATTTTTGCCTTCATTTCTTTACTATACTGATTGTCTTTTCAAAGTCGTCTTCTGATGTGGCAGTGCAGGAGTTCCGCTCTGATCTGGTCTCTGCAAGTAAGTCGTTCTTATATTGTATCTCCGTTTTTTCTGACTCTTATATAATCATTCCTGGCAACTTGACTCATTTCTGTTCTCTGTTTTGACCCTCTTCCAGTACGTGGGTATCAATCTTATCACAAAATTTAAACATGAACCTCTCCTCTTTTCTGCTCTCTCTTTCCTGTTTCTCCTCTTGTCCTTAGTCTGCTGTCTTTGTCTTCTCCCTCTTCATTTTTGCTTCCCATCACTTAAACTTCACGACGTAACTGTCATCAAACACAACAATAAACGCATTCCGTCAAACTTTCGACATCAAACTATGCTTCCTTAAGTGATTTGTTAAAGCTAGTGAATATGGTCAGAGTTACGAAAACTTATGCTTCTAAGAAATATACTATCAAATTATTTGTATGCGTTTATGCCAAACACTTCATAATTATCTCGAAGCGCTGAGACTTCGACGTATGTAGGAAACTGAGGTATATTGGTGTGCGACAACAAAAGACGTGTGTAGCAAGCAAAGTCTTCAATGTGACAATATTTCGCACTAAGAATTGAAAAAGATTCATCTCAGAGCTTAAAAAAATATATCTTAACAATAAAGCAAGTGCTTGTACACGTGTCTTTGTCTCTGTCTTTATTCTCGTCTGCAGTATGATCTTTCAACCATACTGGAGACCTGTGGATATCTGCCGTAAATGTCTACATGGTCTGCAATGGATGACACCAAGAGTACAGTGAATGTCAGCCAGGGTACAGTGGGTGTCAACCAGGGTACAGTGGATGTCAGTCAGGGTACAGTGGATGTCAACCAGGGTACAGTGGATGTTAGCCAGGGTGCAGTGGATGTCAACCAGGGTACAGTGGATGTCAATCAGGGTACAGTGGATGTCAATCAGGGTACAGTGGATGTCAGTCAGGGTGCAGTGGATGTTAGCCAGGGTACAGTGGATGTCAGTCAGGGTACAGTTGTTGCAACCCCTGAATGGGTTGCAATGTATATGATGTATATTATATGTATATAATGTATATTACCTTTTCAAGTAATTTTATATTGCTTATATTTGCGATAATAGCTAAATCGTGAATATATTGCTTTATATTATTATTTGTCTTAGTTACTTTTGTTAGGTAGGATGTAACATATTATGTGCTCATAGTTCAAATCTTGATTGTCTAACTACTGTAATTATCGCTTGTGGCTCGTTACTCTGCTGGCTTCTCGTTGCTGCTGGGCAGCAACCGTCCACAGAGCTATCAAGTGATAGAGGGGGGGGGTGTTCTCGCCTCGCCTGAAGTATTCAGTCTTGGTCGAGACTCGCTTGGTGGTTGGACGTATTCCTGACAAGACGAGCCTAAATCTCTCTTATTGGCCCTTGTTGGAAGATTCGTCTCTTTCTATTATTGTTAGTTCTGGAGACTGTTCACATAACATTGTCTAGACTTAGTGATTTTCGACGTTGTACTGAGGTTGTGTGTCGCTTAGACACTCTGAGCAACTCAGGTCCTGAGCTGTAGCTTCTGACCTAATTTGAACTGGTTTCTGTGTACTGTCACAGTCGGGTATTTTCTTATGCTGAACTTAGATTCAGAAGTATGGGAGTTTGGTGACTTTTGTGGAGGATCTGTTGATGGTCCCTACTTAGTGTCGTTATATTATCTCCTTGTTCCTGATTCTGTGTCACTTTTGCTTGCTATATTGCTATTGGGCTTAGCATTCTTTTTATTGTTCAAGCAGACTGTTCTGATTGCCAGTCGGTCAAGAGCTTAGTTTATGAGAGGACTTTGTCAGTCACTTATTTAAGTCTAGTCGAGTCGTGAGACATAGCGAACTACTTAGAGCACTTACACACATACACACAAACTTATTTGTATATTGTATTATTATATGTTAATGTACCAGACGGTACTTAAGACATAAATATGTGATATGTGCTTTCAGCACAATACTACTGTACACGAGAGAAGTTATTATTAATTTAATTTACTTTGATAATATACCTCTAGACCATGATTAATAAATTTATTAAATTTTAATTTCTCTAGTTAGTAGCCTACCAGTTGTAATCCTGAAGCACTAATAATTCTTATTGAATTCTAATGGATAATTGGACAAGGATACTGACTACTTGTTACGAAAACCCAGTAACAGGCTGGATGCTAGAAGGGCAGTCCTTTCTAGTATTCACTGGAGATCTCTAAGCTTTTAGAATCGCGTTTTTTGTAACACAGTGACTGTCAGTCAGGGTATAGTGGATGTCTGCCGGCGCACAGTGACTGTCAGTCAGGGTACAGTGACTCCTGGGGATGCCACTGAAATGTAGAAAGTTATAATTACCAAAAGTAAAATGATGAAAAGACAGTATTTCAGTTGTATCAAACTGAGGTTTTCATTTTCTTTTTTTTTTAGCTTATGTTTTTTTTGTCTGTTCTGAAATTGCAGTTTGTCGGGCACAGTAATTTCCTCCATCCTGAGTAAACCTTCAGTCAATGGCATTTGAGAGTCGCGTTTACGTACGTGTGACGGACAAGCATAGTACTGACATAAATATCTGATAAAACGAAATTGGGATGCTGAGAATGTGATAACAGAAGTTTAGTGAATGTAATATAAGAAGTGTACAGCAAATATATAACTGTAAACTGAAGTGTCTTCGTGAGCTCGTGTCTTCTACCTGCGGGTTGTGTATTGTTCCTGTCAGGGTATTCTGCCTTTTCTGTTTTTTATGAATATAGATTAAATGAAGTCAGGGGAGACTACAGCGTTTTTTTTCTTTAAATCGCTGCTCTGAAGGGGCCTCTCGAGGGAGGTTCTTCGACGCTAGTGAGCGGCTCTTGATCTTGAGAATTGGATCTGTGCTCCAGTTCCCTGGATTTAGCCTGAATACCTTCCATCCCCCCCCCACAGGCGCTGTATAATCCTACGGGTTTAGCGCCCTCCCATGATAATAATAATGCTCTGAAGGTCGCAATATTAATTTTAATCACCATATTTCTCGTTTCTTTTTCAGAGAAGCTGCACGACCTTTCGGGTTTAGCACTTAGTTATGATTATAATAATATTTTACGAGAGAAATTCTCATATTTTTTATAGAAAAGTGGCGCCATGATGTTGGCGAAGGGCTCTTGATCCTGGAAACTGGATCAAGAGCCCTTTCCCCATATAAAACCTACTTTCCTCTCGTTTTCCCAGGTAGTGAATGACTCCTTCAGGTTTAGCTCTCCCACAGTAAATATAATCACAACTTCGAGGACAAAAAGATAGAATATTTACTCTAGAGAAGGATATCAAACTCGTTTTAGAAGTTAGTGCATTTATTTATAGTATTTTGAAATAAATATATTTTATTGTTATCGAATTTCTCGTTTATTAAATCCTGGAGAAAACCCAGAATATTAAACTGTTTTATTTGTAATATTGTCGGAATTAACTTTCTGACAATCGAGTACTATTTATTTCCCGTATAGTCCTCCGTGGCCACCTCCGACGAGGCCACCTCCGACGAGGCCACCTCCATGACCGCCGACGAGTCCACTTCCGATGACGCCTTTGTGTCCACCTCCAACAATGCCACCTCCATGACCGCCAACAAGGCCACCTCCCACGAGTCCACCTCCGAGTCCACCACTAACGACTCCTTTGTGTCCACCTCCAATGATGCCACCTCCGTGGCCTCCGACGAGTCCACCTCCAAGTCCACCACTAACGACTCCTTTGTGTCCACCTCCAATGATGCCACCTCCGTGGCCTCCGACGAGTCCACTTCCGAGTCCACCACTAACGACTCCTTTGTGTCCACCTCCAATGATGCCACCTCCGTGGCCTCCGACGAGTCCACCTCCAAGTCCACCACTAACGACTCCTTTGTGTCCACCTCCAACGATGCCACCTCCGTGTCCACCGCCAATGACTCCACCTCCGAGTCCACCTAGACTGCTGCCATAGACTCCGCTAACGCCGCCGTGTCCACCACCAAAACCGCCTCCAAGCCCACTACTGAAGCCTCCGATACCTCCATGACCACCACCCAAGTTGAAGCTCACAGATGCTGTGGCTACGCCCTTTCCACCCTTTCCAGCAATTGCTCCACCGTGTCCACCACCGATGACGCCACCGTGTCCACCACCGATGACTCCTCCATGTTTGCCTCCGAAGCCTCCAGAAACAACTCTAGAAACGCCCAAGCCGCCTCCGTGTCCACCACCAATGACTCCACCGTGTCCACCACCGATGACTCCTCCATGTTTGCCTCCGAAGCCTCCAGAAACAACGCTAGAAACGCCCAAGCCGCCTCCGTGTCCACCACCAATGACTCCACCGTGTCCACCACCAATGACTCCACCGTGTCCACCACCGATGACTCCTCCATGTTTGCCTCCGAAGCCTCCAGAAACAACGCTAGCAACGCCCAAGCCGCCTCCGTGTCCACCACCAATGACTCCAGCGTGTCCACCACCAATGACTCCACCGTGTCCACCACCAATGACTCCACCGTGTCCACCACCGATGACTCCTCCATGTTTGCCTCCGAAGCCTCCAGAAACGACGCTAGCAACGCCCAAGCCGCCTCCGTGTCCACCACCGATGACTCCACCGTGTCCTCCACCGATGACTCCACCGTGTCCACCACCGATGACTCCTCCATGTTTGCCTCCGAAGCCTCCAGAAACGACGCTAGCAACGCCCAAGCCGCCTCCGTGTCCACCACCGATGACTCCACCGTGTCCTCCACCGATGACTCCTCCATGCTTGCCTCCAAAGCCTCCAGCACCCAAGCCTCCACCGTGTCCTCCGCCGATGACTCCACCGTGTCCTCCACCGATGATTCCACCATGTCCTCCACCGATGATTCCACCGTGTCCTCCACCGATGATTCCACCGTGTCCTCCACCGATGATTCCACCGTGTCCTCCACCGATGACTCCACCGTGCTTCCCTCCCAAGTCTCCAGAAACGACAGCTTCACTAATAATCTCATCTGAGAAGTCACCTCCAAGGCCTCCATGTTTGCCTCCGAAGTCTCCAGAGACGACGGTTCCACTAACAATGTCATCTCCGAATCCACCTCCGACGACTCCTCCATGTTTTCCTCCGGAGACGATGCTTCCACCGCCGAAGCCTCCTCCGTGTCCAACACCTACGGCGCCGCCGTGCTTGCCTCCGAAGCCTCCAGAGACGATGCTTCCTCCACCGAAGCCTCCTAAGTGTCCACCACCGAGGCTGCCACCATGTCCTCCACCAATGAAGCCTCCATGTCCACCTCCAAGTCCTCCTCCAAATCCACCTCCAAGTCCGACTCCATGTCCGCCTTGCGCTCCATAGGGAAGCTCAGCGAGGGCCGCGGAGGACAGCAGCACCAGACAAAAGGAGACCAGCAAATTCTGGAAATTCAAAGGAAATTAAAAGAGGACACTAACGTTGCTCCATCAACTATGTTGTAAAACCAAAAGCAGGAAATAATTGAACTATAAAAACCAGTTTCACTGAGTGTATAAATTTAGTGTGAAAATTTTTTAATAATATGGTAGATTGATGAGGCAGCGGAAGATTTCAGTCCATTGACCAAATGGTCCTATGACTAAGACTCGCGCCAGGAACCGAACCCATTTCCCTTTCCTTTAGTACCATCTCAGAGAGGCTCAGCAAACAGCATCGCAATTATTTTAACAAAGGTCACGTTAACTAGGATTCTCCGTTTAACAAAAAAAAATGAAGATTAAATAAAAAAAAATCTTGTTTATTCCTCAGGAAGATGAATAATAAACAAATATTTTAACTAGGTTTTTAAATACTGAAATCGACACATTTAAATTACGGTAATTTTGGCAATTCAAAAAAATATGTAACACCATTTACACCATAAAAACTCCATTGTTTTATAAGGAACCGTCACAATACACTGCGAGGCTGAGGTTGTCTAATGACCTCCATTTACTACGAAACAAAAGGCCCGGTAGGGGCTCCGGTATTCTCACGAACGACGTCACTAAAACGCTTTAAGGTCATTTTCAAAAGCACTAATTTCTCCTCACAAATTATAAATAAGACAATGCTCGAAATAGTATAGCAGAAGCTTTCCCATTTAATCCAGCACAGGAAGTTGCGTCATGATAGTCTTTCGTTGACGTGAGAAAGAAGTGGTGGGCAAGTCGCCTTGTGTTCTTACCATGACTGCACACCTGGGACTTGCCGACGGAGGCTGTCTCACCTACTTATATACTGCCGGGCTCACGGCCGCCCAAGCTAAAGGTCTCCATCTCATCGAGGACGTCTGGACAAAATTTCTCTGAAATAGATCGCCCTTGACCTAGTGCCCAGGTAGGGATGGGAAAGTACTTCATTTAGCAATGATTAGCATAGTCATCGCTGGGCTTTAATGAACAGTCGAGACGGCATTTATGAGGGAATATTGCATGTGTAAAATTCATCCGCATTGTTTTTCCATTTCTTACAACTCGACCAAAAATTTGGATATAGTTACACACACAATAAATAGTCTTCTGTATCAACGAAAACTAATATTGTATTAATATATTACACGTGGAAAATATACTGTATATCATGTATGAATATTACATAGTAAGTCATTATATAAATATATTTAACATACAGCAACAGTAATTACAGGACTTTATAAATGAGTTTGTCAGATCCCAAATTTTACCATAAAAATAATGAATATGTAAGATATCACTTTTCCCGAATATAGAAAAGCTGAATATGCAGTAGTAGCAAGGATATATACATAGAGAGGTATGCCTATGTATATACACAGAGATTACTGAAATATGCTTAACTAGTGGTGTACAAGTGACCTGCGCTTTAATGACACTGGCGCAGTCGATAAGCTTGAAACACAATTATCAAACGAGCAAACTAATATTAAATTTATTGTAACCTGAGATATTAGAAAGGATCATTATAATACTGACTGAATGAGCACTTAGTACTTACTACAGTTTGAAGAACTCTTGATCTAAGGAACTGGAAATATGGCCTTATTCCTTAGCTCAAATCCGATTACTTCCCATTATTCAAGCGCTGTATGACCCTTATGGGTTTGACGCCTCCCAGTGAATATTATACTTGAAGGGACATTCACCCCAGAATACTAGTAGGGGTAAAAAGTGACTAAGTTATACACACATGGTTGACGAGACCACACTGGTGGAGCAGCATCACTGACATACACACACCTGGTTGTCTAGACCACACTGGTGGAGCAGCATCACTGACATACACACACCTGGTTGTCTAGACCACACTGGTGGATCAGCATCACTGACATACACACACCTGGTTGTCTAGACCACACTGGTGGAGCAGCATCACTGACATACACACACCTGGTTGTCTAGACCACACTAGTGGATCAGCATCATTGACATACACACACCTGGTTGTCTAGACCACACTGGTGGAGCAGCATCACTGACATACACACACCTGGTTGTCTAGACCACACTGGTGGATCAGCATCATTGACATACACACACCTGGTTGTCTAGACCACACTGGTGGATCAGCATCACTGACATACACACACCTGGTTGTCTAGACCACACTGGTGGATCAACATCACTGACATACACACGCCTGGTTGACTAGACCACACTGGTGGATCAGCATCATTGACATACACACGCCTGGTTGACTAGACCACATTGGTGGATCAGCATCATTGACATACACAGACCTGGTCTTCACGACCACACTGACGGCCCATAATTACAGTGATATACAGACCTGGTCCTCAAGACTACAGTGGTGGAGCTGCATCACTGACACACAAATCTGGTTTAGTCCACACTGACGAACCAGCATCATTGTGGTACACAGACCTGATCAAGACTACACTCAGGGCCTATGAGAATTTGAGAATATTGTTAACAATTACAGTTACAGTAATGTCAGCAAGAAGATCTTTAAGCAAACTCAGACATATCAAAAAAAAAAAAAAAAAAACTTTTAAGGTTTGCTATGTCTCAAACCTGACTTGCAGATGTAGCAAGACTGAGTACCGAATCAAACAATGCCAGAGAAGTTGATTTTGATAGTCTTATTAGAAGTTTTGCAGACCAAAAGCTAGAAAATCTCATTTTACTAAGTAGTCTAAGTAAATATTAAACTTTTAAGAATTTATTTTACTTTGAAAGAACTTATTTGAATGTTGAAAAATTTAGGCACTTGAATAGTTATAGGTCAATAAAATTTTTCAGACAGAAGCCGCGGGGGCACTGACCCCCGAAACCCTCTCCAGGTAAACTCTAGGTAATAAAGAATAGGTTATCTGATCATTCTGCTGAGCAGGAAATAAAGCATTTATGAAAGTTTACCAGTGGGTTTACTGGACTTCAGATTCTCAATTTTGACAGAAGCCTCACCCATAGGGGCTCCAAAGAAGTCTTGTTCAGCCATGCAAAATTTCTCTCGGAGGCCCTAACTACTAGTGAAGCAGCATCACTGACATAAACAGACCTGGTTGTCTAGACCACACTGACGGACCAGCATTAATGTGATACACAGACCTGGTTGTCTAGACCACACTGACGAACCAGCATCAATGTGATACACAGACCTGGTTGTCTTGACCACACTGACGGACCAGCATCAATGTGATACATAGACCTGGTTGTCTAGACCACACTGACGAACCAGCATCAATGTGATACACAGACCTGGTTGTCTTGACCACACTGACGGACCAGCATCAATGTGATGCATAGACCTGGTTGTCTAGACCACACTGACGAACCAGCATCAATGTGATACACAGACCTGGTCTTCAAGATTATACTAGTTGTCCAAAAACAATCAGATAAACAACTCTAGTCGTTAAGATCTCTCTGACGATCAGATACATAGACATGATCATAAACACCTTTGGCAATCAGAAACAAAGACCTGGTCGTCAAGATCACACCGGTGATCTAGCATAAGTTGAAAACCCACGCATGAAGAATTACCCTCAAATCACCCAAGATCTCGACAATCATAGATGTGGACGTGAGTTAACACTACTGCTACTGGAAAACGGGTGAAACCAGGAAGTTAACGGGAACAAAGCTCAGAGCTCGAAGAGCAGACTCTAGCTGGAAATCTACAGAAACTAAGGTTTAGCGCTTAATGATTATAATAATACAGAAGCTAAGGGAAGCTCCAATGTTGATAATAGTGATGATGATTATCATGACGAATTTTGTCTATAATGGTAACAAGGTACTTTCCAAGTGCTTGTGCCCATTTGAACACATAACCTGTTCATTACCATTCAAGATTGCTTTAATCTCTAAAATAGGGAATTAACAGACAACATTAATGCACTTAGAGATATACACATTACGGTATATGTATGTAAATTTTTATCATTATTGTATTATTATTTTTTCTCCTTTTGTCATATATATATATATATATATATATATATATATATATATATATATATATATATATATATATAATATATATATATATATATGTCGTGCCGAATAGGCAGAACTTGCGATTTTGGCTTAAATAGCAACGCTCATCTTGCCATATATTTTATAATTAATTCTATAACTTTGCAGAAATTGCATTATTTTTTACTCTGTTATATGTTACATTCCTGATCTTTCCTTCACCTGAACATTATTTTCTCAAACCAGGTGAGTTGCAATCTAATTCTGATTCATATATTTATATATATATATATATATATATATATATATATATATATATATATATATATATATATATATATATTTCGTGCCGAATATGCAAAACTGGTCAATTAGCAAGAACTCTTTTAAAATTAAGTCCTTTCTAAAATTTTCTCTTATACGTTTAAAGATATATTTTTTTCATTAATGTTGATGTAAAAATTCATAATTTTGCACGAAAAGTAACTAAGAAAACTTACCTAACCTTATTATAACAAGCACAATTTATTTTAGCCTAACCCAACTAAATATATTTTTAGATTTGTTTACAATAATTTAATACTAAACAAACACAGTGAAATATATTTTTTTCGTTAGGTTCAGAATGATTTTGGCGAAATTATTGCATACACAAATTTTCACTTGTCCTATATGGCAAGATGAGTGTTGCTATTTAAGACAAGATCGCAAGTTCTGCCTATTCGGCACGATATATATATATATATATATATATATATATATATATAATTTTGTCAATTGTAACTTTTTATCCTGTTGATACAGCACGTTTTATAATTGTACATATTTAGGACGATATGTTCAACGTAATAGTTCGTTGCAACTAGAGGAATTTGTAAATAGCTGTGACACCACCTAGTTTTTGGTCTATCCTTGAGAGAAAGAGGGAGGGGCAGGGAAACAAGTGAGGTCCCAGAGGAGTGTGGGGGTGAGTGACGGTGATGCGAGTTGCG